TTTAAACTATTTATTTATTTATTATATGTAAGTACACTGTAGCTGTCTTCAGACACCCCACAAGAGGGCATCAGATATCATTGCAGATGGTTGTGAGCCACCATGTGGTTGCTGGGATTTGAACTCGTGACCTCTGGAAGTGCAGTCAGTGCTCTTAACCGCTGAGCCATCTCACCAGCCCCCGGTTGGGCTGTTCTTAGGAGCAGGTTTCAAGATGTTAGAAAGCAACAGCTTTCAGAACTGTTTTGATTGATATTTTACAATTTTAAAAACTGTTGAAATGGGATCAAAACTTAAGAGATCTCCCACATGGGGACAAATGGAATCTATGAACAAATTAAGAAAAGACGTTGATTGCAGGTTTACACACTGTGGTATTTCTCATATGCTCTGGTATATTTATACTTAATCTCCAAGAGGGAGATATGGCTTATAGATTTATTGGTCACAAAACCCTTTTTGTTTCAAGGAATACATTAACATCTTATTTAAAGTGTGCAACAGAGTTTGAGAGTTGATCTAAAATAGTCTTCTTATTTAATTCATTTACTTTCAATCCAAGCAGATTTAATTTTAATGATAGGAATATTTTTGTACCATGTATTCTCATTTACGTGTCTGTGGCCTTTCTGAGAGCTCAAAACAGGAAATGACTTATTTATTTCCACTTTCCTTCCTTTCCTTTTATTTTAACAAAAGCTTCCACCCTCCCCTGTGTGCATGTGTGTGTGCGTGCATGCTTGAGAGAGAGAAAGTGAGAGGGAGAAAGTGAGTGAGAGAGAGAGAGAGAGAGAGAGAGAGAGAGAGAGAGAGAGATGTTATTTGTACGTATGTGCATCCAGAATGCACTCATCTATGTGCATGTGTGAAGGCCAGAGGTCAGTGTTGGGCATCTTCCTCAAATGCTTCTTCACTGATTTGAGATGGGGGTGGTGGTGGAGGATCTCTCACTCAACTGGGAGCTCACTGTTTGGCCAGATTTGCTAGCCAGTGAGCCCTCAGGCTCTACCTGTCTGAGTCCTCCAATGCAGAACTTACAGAGAGATGCCTGCACTATGCCTTTTTACAAGAGTGTTAGAGATTCAAATGTAGTTCTCCATGTTTGTGCAGTGACTTCTGTAACCAGAGAGCCTTCTCCCTAGCCATGCTCCCTTTGCTTTGGAAAACACACAAAACAGTTTGTCGTTTGTTTGAAACAGGGTCTTACTATATAGCTGGGCTCAGCCTCCTGATCCCATCTGCCTCTCTCAGGTTTCCAGGACATGGGATCTCACACGAGTACCAGCAGGCTCAGTTTCATTTACCTTCTTATTTTAGAGTTAAGAACAATGAGGATACAGTGAAGATGGGTTTGTCCAGCCAAACAGTTGGACTGGAGAGATGGCCTAGTGGTTAAGAGCACTGATTGCTCTGCCAGAGGTCCTGAGTTCAATTCTCAGCAACCACATGGTGGCTCACAACCATGGACCCAATGCCCTCTTCTGGTGTGTCTGAAGAGAGTGACAGTGTGCTCATGTAAATAAATAAATTCCTGCCGGGCAGTGGTGGTGGCGCACGCCTTTAATCCCAGCACTTGGGAGGCAGAGGCAGGCGGATTTCTGAGTTCTAGGCCAGCCTGGTCTACAGAGTGAGTTCCAGGACAGCCAGGACTACACAGAGAAACCCTGTCTCGAAAAAACAAAAAACAAACAAAACAGTAGCAGAACCTAGATTAGAATTAATCACTGCAATCCGGGGCTTTACTCTGAAGAAAAATAATCCTCCTTCTAGAGTATATTTGTAAACTCAGTACTATGCCAAGTTTCTTTTCTATTTTTTAAGATTTACTTATTTATGTCTATGAGTGCTCTATCTGCATGTACACCTGCATGCCAGAAGAGGGCATCAGATCTCCTTATAGATGGTTGCAAGTCACCATGTGGTTGCTGGGAATTGAACTCAGGACCTCTGGAAGAGCAGCCAGTGCTCTTAACCACGGAGGCATCTCTCCAGCCCCTGTGCTAAGTTTCTTAAATACATAATCACATTTCCTTCCTAACAACCCTGTGATTTAGATGCTACTCTTACTTTAAAGGAGAGGAATTAAAGATTAGTTAAGGTTTAGCAGGCAATCTCAAGTCACTTAGTAAAAAGTTGGGGTTAACACCAGTAAGACTAGTCAAAGCATTTCTTCATAAACTCCTGTTTTTACTGCCCTTGGTCAAAGCAGTTTAATGTTCTAGTCAATACTGTTAGGTTTTTCATACCTGTAATGTTGTCATAATTCCGGAATGTCTTTTCTACATGGTCCCATTCCAGGAAAATACATTTTCCAGTAAAAGGCTGAGCGATGACTACATATTCATCATTCAAATAAGAAAAGGTATCTATGGACAGTGACTGATAAGGCAGGTCCTGGGACTTTGCAAACTCTGCAAAAATAGGAAAAGGAGAGGAATAAATGTAAGCTAATACTAATACCTTGCTTCTTGGCTAGATCCCAAATACCCATAAGTCATATATTTATTCAGAGAAATACTAAAATGACAATTCTGCAATTTTTAAGCATATAGAGTTTTAAAGGTTCATAATATTTCACACATTAAATTGCTCAGATGGTTAACAAATTTAAAAAAAATCAATTCTTATAAGTGCAAAAAAAGCAGCCCTTTAAATAATTTTCTGCTGTAAAATGGTTTTCAATATATTACCTGTAATGATACAGTCAAAATCCTTGGGGGAGAGGCTATTGATTTTACGTTTCTTATATTCCGGTGGGCCTTCACAGTAGATGTCTTCCACGGTTGCATTGGTGTGACCAAGCCATTCCACCAGCCACTTCAACTTACAGTCACAATTAAATGAGTTCCCTCTCAGGTCCCTGAAACAGAAACCTCTGCTGCATTTGCAGTGGATGGGTCCTGTCATGACCCATGCACGCATGACCTCGACTCCACCCTTAACCTGCACATGCTCTGGTATCTGTGTTGGACTTGACTGCTTATTTTGTTTGGGCTCAGAAGGTGATCTCAGAGCACCCTTAAAGGCCACCCAGATCCTAGTAACCTGTTTTTGTCTGGATTCAATGGTGTCTTAGACTAGAAGAGTCACTGGAAATAGCATATGAGTCATATACATAAATTGTATTTTTTTAGACAGAGGCACTAAAGAAATGTAAAAAGAAATAGATATCATTAATTTTAAAGTTTTATTTACTCTAATACATTCAAAATTTTATCCTCTAGATGTGTAATCAATATAGACATTATTGAGATAGCCTATTGATTAATCAATACTCTGTTCTCTCTCTCTCTCTCTCTCTCTCTCTCTCTCTCTCTCTCTCTTATCTTTGAGATCCTCTGAACAGTTTATGCTTACATCTCAATTTTGATGCTAAATTTGCATCAGAAACACATGATCTATGTTTAGAGTTCATAAAGTTTATAGTTCAAAAATAGGTTCCTATACCTAAGTTGTTCCAAATGTAATTATTTTCTAATATAATAAAATGAGAAAAAATGCAATTTAAATCTTAAAAAAATAAGAATCTTAAGTGTAGCCATGCATGCTTAGCCTATTAAAAGGTCAGGGCTCAATTCCTTGGACATAAATAAATAGATAGCTAAATGTAAAACATAAAATTCAGTCCTTCTTTTGTACTAGCAGCATATCCCATGGCTATGAGAGTCCAGCAGCTACCTTATTGGGTGCAGAGGACGGAATGTGGTGGTTGCTGTATAATATTTAATTCAATCCAGTGAGCCACTGGCTTTTCTTCTTCATAGACATAGCTAATCCCGATCCTATTCTGTGGTCTACAAATTCCACTTTAATAAGACATGACTTCACCATAGCGGAGTTAATGCAGACATAATACCTAGAACAGCCCAGTGCCTGTAATAAGCTATATGGCAGAGTTTCCACTCATGGCCTTGGATCACCAAGCTCTCTTTTTACTCTGCTTCTGTGCTGGTTTTCCACTCCTTTCCTGGACACACAGAATTCATAAGGTCGGTGCCGCCCATTCTTTATGCAGCAAATAAATAAGTTTAAACACAAGACTATTTAACTATTTCTTTAAAATCTATGGTTTTTTTTTTTAATCAACAGAAAAAGCCTCTAAAAGACAAATTGTCGTGAATCCTTGTACTTCTAAAATGATTCTTGATTTGGCTTAAACTCATTCTGGATTCTCTGGGGGAGTCTGAGCCAAATTTTAAGTGTTACATTGACACAGGATGGGAAAGAAGCCCTGCCATGAACTATATTCCAAGTAAGCCACGGGGCATCATCTAACTTGTAAAACATTCCCAGCAGTGACCTCATCCCAAGAGTACTGGTCCTTCTGGGCTCTGTTAAACCAGAGCAGATAACTGATCTATCTGTTAGCTCTCTCAAGGAGGTTTCTTGGTTCTGGCACTTGCTTGGAAATAAACCAGTTTTCAAGAATTGGGAAAGCAGGCCTGAGAGAGGAGCTGGGGACGACTGCGAAGAACAAAGAAAGGTTTTCATTAGCTTCTTGATTTGAAGCTAAACTCTGGGCTTAGAAGGACATCCTTAACTCAGAATTTCTTGTTATTAGAAAAAGCTTTTTTGGAGATATGGATATAGATATATAAGTATACATATAGATATATATCCTCTCCATGTGTGTGCGTGTATTACTATATTTACTTTCTCTATTGGTTCCATCACGGTTCGTTTATATTTATTTAATTTCCTCTTTCTATATTCTATTGCAAAGTAAATGATAGTAAAAAATGTTCTCATGCATCTTCTCATTCGTTCCTATATTCTACTTTATTTATGTTCTACTTTATGACATTTAAATGCCCCGCTAATGTTCTGGAAGACATTTAAGGAGACTAAATTGCTTTTGGGAGGATTGGGCATATAGAAGTTGCTTTGCTTACAGCAAAATATACAAATTCCTTACGAAGATCTTTCACTCTGAGGCTTAAAAGTCAAAGTTTGAAAGCTCTTTTGTTTGAAAAGGGGTCAAAAGTAATTAAGTTCATTCCCTTCCCGGGGCTTAAGCCAAATTCCTGGGGATTAAGCCTAGAGTTGTTGTTCAGGCTAATGAGAGGAAAGGCAAGCTTCCCTCCCTTCCCCCACTTCCTGCTCCTTTTCTGCTGCCTGACCAACCCATGGGTGTAACCTTTCATCTTTGTCAATTTCTCAGACTCCTTTATATTTTTTCTTTGTAACCCCACTTCCTGGACTTCATGAGAAAACAAGAGATCCTGAAGTTGTTGTGGAGGTCTCTCCTCTCTAGGCTCCCCCGTGACCCTTATGATCACCCCTAAAGATAGGCACACATTTTTTCAGAGTAATGCCTGGGTACTGTGTTTTCAGAGTTTCCCATGCTAAATCACAAAGGAGTCTAATGTAGTCTGTGTAGATTCAAGAGTGACGTCAAGGAAAACATTCTAATTTTAAAGCCAATTAAAAATACTAATCATCAATATCAGGTCTCATTAATTATTTTAAATTAATTAGTCAGTGATTTCTTAGGTCCCCTTACACATTTGTTAAAGAATCCAGGCCTTTGAAAATGTCTTTTGGGAGTGTCTGGAGATTGTTGTTTGCGAGACTCCTGGGAAAAGAAAAGAAAAAGAAGGTGATACAAAAATGTAGTGAAAATTCAATAAAAACATTTGTGATACAGCTTACTAATGACTTCTTTTTAAAAATCATTTTCAATCTGTTAAATTGTTGGGATTCAAACCCAGGACAAGTGGGTGTGGTTCATATTTAACATACCAAGTGGACCTGGCCTCCAGGTTCTCCTGACATCCCTCAGTCCCTGCCTGGCATACCCCACCCTCTACTTCTCAGACCAGGGGCTGGGCTTCCTCTTCCCAAGAGGATCTTTCCTATATATTGGTCCCATTTCTCTCTCTGGTTCTTTTCCTCTCTTTCTTCTCCCCATTCTCATGGCGACTTCTCTGGTCTTGTTCCTTGGGACCAGTGAATGGTTCCTTGAAACCATTGGCTTGAGACTGGTTTCCCAATAGACCTTTATATACACTCTTATCTGGCTTGAATTGGCTCACTTCACACAAGGAGAAACAACTTATCAATTATACATGCAGTACTTTTATTTTCCCAAGACACTACTCAAATTTCTGTTGTTGAATTTTCAATCTCTGACCTCTTTGCTTCAAGATCCACTTAGCATTGACGTAACACTGGATACCGACTTGAGGCAATAGCAACAATGAACCATCAGCAGAAGGATGCTTTGGTGTCCCTCTTAGAATTCATCACCTGAGACTCCTACTCAGAGGTCCAGCCTAGAGGATACTTCCCAAGCGATGCCAGACTACACTGGATGATAGTGTCCACCTCCAAATGCCCTTCCTCTTTTGGCTGGGACTTTTGACTTCCTTCCTTCTCTGATCCCTTGCTTCAGAGAGCAGCTAAACTCCTAATCCCTTTCCTTTGTCTTTGTGTGCTTTCTTCTTTCCAAAGTACACTCCCCTGTTTCTGTTTTCCATCTCGGCAAAAAGCTTCCTCACTAATGTCCATCCACTCTCTTTAATTATTCCTTCTCCTGACTCTTACCCTGTTCTTCTGACTCCTACCCTGTCGTCACAGAATCATTTTCTTTCTCTTCCTAGTTGCTGCTCCACAAATGACTAGAATGAGTCTGATAATGGTTACCAAGCAGAAAATAGTTCTGATAGTAACAAGGGAAATGTATGCACATTACAGAAAAATGAACGTGAATGATCGGGTTCTGGAGCAGCTACAAGGTACTGACACTTTTGGGGTTTTGTCAGCATGTTTGATTTATCTCTAACAATAACATTCAAGTCTAAAACAGAAGAGCCTCTTGTTGGTCTCAAAAGTCCCTGAAAAATTCTCTCAGCTTTCTTTTAAAATATTTTTCTAGGTTTTCTTTCTTTTACTTCCTCTACTTAAATAGGGATTTTTCACATTCGAGCATTCCTGATTTTTTTTTTTTAGAACTCATTTTAAAGTTCATTACACTGTTTGTAGGTTTTAGAAATCACTACTAGATGTCAAAACTTTTCAGTGAACCAAGGAATGTAAGAATGGGAAAGAATGTAAAGAATTCGAACATCTAGGTCTCCAGGACAATGGATTTGGTAATGAAGGGCAGAGCTTTGCAGTCAGTCTGAGCTGGGTGGGAATCAGAACTCCACCACTTTGTAGCTGATGACTTCTGTTCTGCATCCTCTCTAACACTCGTGCTACGCTGGTGTAGAGCATCTGCTACAGGCCCATGTGTGCTTGGTCCTCAGCCTCTGTTGTGTTACTGGGAAATGGTAGATGTTTTAAGAAGTGGAGCCTAATGGGAGATCACTTGGGCTATGTCCTTGAAAGAAGACTGTGACTCTGGTCCTGTCCTGTGCTGGTTAGGCTTTGTTAACTTTGCACATGCCAGAGTCATCAGAGAGGACGGAACCTCAATTGAGAAAATGCTTCCATCCAGTTGACCCGTAGGCAGGCCTGTGGAACATTTTCTTGATAGATGAGTGATGTGGAAAGGCCCAGCACACTGTGAGCAGTGTCATCCCTGGGCAGGTGCTCCTGGGGTGTGTAAGAAAGCTGAGGAATAAGCCAATAAGCAGCATGGCTGGCTTCTGCTTCAGTTCTTACCCTCAGGTTCCTGCTTTGGCTTCCCTCAAGAGACTATGATTCAGGATAGGTAGGCCAAGTAAACCCTTTCCTCCCCAAGTCGCTTATGGTAGTGGTGTTTATCACATCAATAGAAAAGGAACCAACATACTTCCTGTTTCTCACTGTTTTCTGATTGTTAAGACTTTAATTCCAGGCAGTGGTAGTACATGTCTTTAATCCCAGTGCTTGAGAGGTAGAGGCAGGTGAATTTCTGAGTTAAAGGCCAGCTTGGTCTACAGAGCAAGTTCTAGGATAACCAAGGCTACACAGAGAAACACAGTCTTGAAAAACAAAATAAATAAATAAAGAGGCTAAATCTAAAAAAAAAAAAAAAAAAAAAAAAAAGGAGGGAGTGCTGGAGAGATGGCTCAGTGGTTAAGAGCATTGACTGCTCTTCCACAGGCCCTGAGTTCAATTCCCAGCAATGACATGGTGGTTCACAACTATCTGTAATGAGACCTGATGCCCTCTTCTGGTATTTCTGAAGACAGTGACAGTGTACTCATATACATAAAATAAATAAATACTTTTTAAAAACGTTAATTCCTTCACATATTACCACCATGATATGCTACCATAGGCTCAAACCAAGCATGAACTGAAATTTCTATAAGTGGAAGCAATAGTATCTCATCTCAAATATTGTTAGAAATAGAAAAATGAAAAAGAAAGAAAGAAAGAAAGAAAACAAGATAGCCTAGGATAATACTTAGTATCAAGATTACTCTTTAAATACAGGGGATAAGGGGGAGAGGAGAAGATGAAGGGGGAGAGGAAGAGAAAGGGTAAAGGTTCCTGTGTACAGGAAGCAATATTCAGAAAACAGACCTGCATGAATGTACTGTCATGGCTGTCCACATATAGCAGCAAGAATGAGCAGTGTGAATATTCCTTACAGAAGATGGGATGGCACTTCCTAGGTTTGATAAGCAAGAAGACTGAGAAAGTTGGAGGAAGAAGAAATGAGACAGGGTCATGACAAAGGCTTTCCTGTCCACTCAGCCTTGGACTGGATTTCAGATAGCTTCTCTGGGTCTCTGGGAAGCCCCAGAGCCATCAGGTGGATTTAGCGGAATAGAACACAGACAGAGGGGTGTGAGCAGAGACTCGCCATGGAACCAAAGCTGGCAGAGTGTGGGAATAACTCTCCGGAAGCTGAATGGACTCTGAGAAAGAACGTGCTTCTAGTGCAGCATGAATGCTAAGTGGAGACAAATACATCACGGGCTCAGGAGGGGATCAGCAAACCTGTAAACTCGAGGTGGGTTAGAGGACTGCCCAAGGGCCAGTTAAGAGTGTTTAACGATTCCCAAATGAGGAGAAAATAGAAATATTAGCATTCTGTTGCATAAGCAAGGGAAGATCTTTCATCTGCCTTTGTCTGTAGCTGTGAAGAACTGGAAACAACTGGCTTCTCTGTTAATAAGGGATTATGTAAATAAACAATGGTTCACAATGAACACAGAATATTTCATAAATTTACAAAAAGAGGGGGCTGATTCTGATGTATTATAAAGTGCCCGAGTGAAAATAAATATGAGAACAGTATGACAAGTGCAGTCTCCAGGCAGAGAGGACATAGGTCTGTAGATGTACAAAGGAAGGTCTATGGAGCGATCTCCAAACTGTTGATGAAGAGTCCTGTGCCCTTGTTAGAGCAGCAGGGAGGAGGGCTCAGGGTCCACCACAGGCACCTGCAGGCTTCAGTGAGACTCTCCACAGAGTAGGGCATCAGGCCAGGGCTACCAAGGGGAGCGTGTTTGCAGCTTGCTCAACATTTGTTTTTTACCCAAAAGGATGAGGGAATGAGATCTGCGGCCTATTAAGTAGCTGGGACAGCTGTAGAGCCTGAGAGCACTGTTTGCTTTAAGATTCGGCTTCCACTAGGGTTGTTAGGATCATAAGACCTTCCCATTCCACCTCAGCATCAAGTTCTCCAGCCTGTGTTACCTTTTGTCAGCGATCCCCACTCCTCCCAGCCCGCCTGCCTGCCAGCTTCACAGAGACAATGTCACATTATTCTCTTTCTTGTTTTCTTCGTTGGGACACTCTGGTACAGGCAAGGGTTAAATCAGAGCCAGGCTTTAATATTAACCATGAGAATTCTTAGGAATAAGAGTAAGAAAACTTTTGAATGTAAAAGAGAAAGGGGTCTGGGGACAGAGGTGGCCTTCAGAGGTGTTAGTTGACTTTCAGCTGGGTCAAGCAGAGGAACAGGAGATTCTTGTCCTGACTCAAGCCTTCCTAGATTAGATTCACTATAATATTCTCCAAATCGGCTCCAGAGTGCAGTACAAACTCGTGCGAGTTGGGAATGGGAGACAGGCTTGAGTTTTGGCAGATTTCTATAAAGCCAGTTCCTCTTGGATCAGAACTATCTCCAAATCCTAATCTTGCTCCTAAATCACATCTCCATACCTTCCCCTGTGAAAGACTTATGGCTTCATCGTTAACAACAGTCAGATGATTCTGGAAGCAGTGCTTTAAGCCATGTGCCTAGGAGTCATTGCCTCTGACAAGGATTTTTTTCTAGGAAGTCCAGAGACACGGAATATTAGGTGGGGCTAATAGTTGGCAGAAGACAAGACAGTGCGAGGCTGAGGAAAGCATTTCCTCACTGCTAACCACTCCTTCCATTGTTCTGCTTTGAGAGCTTGAAGAATGTGTTAGTGTCATCAGTCTATACCTCCAAATGAATGAAGAGTTTGGAAAGGCAGGCAGGGAGGGAGAGCGTCAGGGAAGGAGGGAGAGCGAGGAGCATCGAGGGAGGAACAGAGGCAGGCAGGGAGGGAGAGAGAGGAGCAGCGAGGGAGGGACAGAGGCAGGCAGGGGGAGAAGGAGAGGGGCAGGGATGGAGGGAGAGGGGCAAGCAGGGGGGAGGGGGCAGGTTGGCAGAGAGGGAGAGGAGTATGGAGGGAGAGAAGGAAGAAGGGAAAGACTAGGGCA